AGGCGGTCAAGACCATGTAGTTGGAAAGGGATCTTGGGGGATCTTGGGCAGTCAGCCCTCTCACCTCTCTGCCCCAAGGTGGAACTGACTTTTATCCATTCATTTCTGATGTTGACATAAAAGACCTATGTGATTGCAGTCCACAATTTCCCCAGGCAGTCTGTTCCAGTTCTTTGCATGTCTGGTTTGTTGGATTGCCATTAAAATTGAAGAGGTCCTCAGATGTCAAGTAATAACTAGTTTTCATACATTGTGTGTTAAGATGCTAATATGTTGCAATATGGTGAGTTTTTGTTTGTATGTTCTTTCCTGTTAATATACATATAGAACTGCATTTAGAAGCAAACGCCTCTAACAAGAGATACTGTGCCTGAGAGGCTCATCTTTCCAATGTTATCTTCATATTCTGGTGACTGCTGGAAATGGTTGGGGGGTTTTTTCCCCTCTTAAATTTCAGAGGGTTTTTTAGCAGATAAGTAATTGGGGAGCACTTCATACAGAAATGTCAGTAGGTACTAATTTATTTTTATAATAAGTGATAAAACAGCTAATGCATATTGAATTTTATAGCTACAGAGGAACATAGATAGAACGAGCGATCAGGATTTCTTTGTGCTGCATTTCCTTGTGGAAATCTTCAGTTCATGGTAACCAATGTTCCTGAGTCACGGCACGCTGAGAAAGTTTCATTTAAAAATATATCACACAGGCAGCTCACAGCCGATGAGCTGGGTCTTGAAGATAGAACTGTGCTAAAGGAGGCTGAGCTTTAGATTACTGGGTTTGGGAAGGATGCCAGATTTGAATGGAATTAATCTAGGATTAGTGAAATGGCTCCAGCAAGTTGATGTATTCTAAAAAAAAAAAGAGAGCTGTTCAGGAAAACCCAGTGATTAAAAAGTCCTAGTAGGAAAAATCTCATTCAGACAGCTTCTTGCATTTTAGGTCTTTACCTGAATTTCTCTTTAGGAGTAGTTTGTTACAGAATTTCTGCATGTCTGCACCTTCCTATATCCTTTCCTGGCAATAGTGGATAATGGTTTTCAAAGCCTTCGGGAGGGATTGTTTGTCTTTAATGGACAGAAACACTAACAGCATGCAGCCAGATGACCTCCAGTCATTTGATAAATGCACTCACATTTCAAAGTATTTTCATTACGGGGAAGGTCCTTACTTGCAGCTTTAAGACAGATGGATATTAGTGCTATTTTGCTTTTCTGCATTTTTTTTTTTTAACCTCAGAAAAGGCCACAGTCTGTTCTCTATCCCCTATTTGAGGCCTGCTATAAACATACTTAATACAGCGCAAAGCCTCTGAAAACAAGCAGCTTTCCAGCACGGCCTCCAAGGGAGGGGGCTGTGCTTTGTGTTTGTGTGACTGTGCATGTATGTACAGAACTGGGTAGTCGGTGTTTAATGGGCTACGAGCTTGTCTGTATACATCCAGTCAGGCATAAAATCAGACTGACATAAGCGGTACAGCAAACAAGCCAGAGCTATTTTTGAAACAGCAGAAGAGCCGAGGAAAGAGGCAAGGTGATGAAAATCCTTTCCAGCCGAGTTAATGTAGCTGCACCAAACCCTTTGTGAGTTGCGCTGGGGCTGGGGACCCACTGGGTTTGTGGCTTTACTTGGAGAGGGCAATATATGTTTTATTGTATTCTTTTTCCTGTAATGAAAATGTTCATTTTTACTGAGTGGCCTGCTTCTGTGTTTGTTCCGAGTCTGTGGGGTGGTGTTCTGGGGCTGGCAGCGCTGGGAGCGGGGCGTGGGGTAAGGGTGGGAGAGTTTGTGTTTGTGCGAAGGGCCAGGGAAGTGCTGCCTGGCAGGCTGTTAGCCATCACGCAAGTGTTCTGCATTTTGTAAGATAAGCATCTACCACAGGGGCTCTGTGTGCCAGATCAAGTTGTCAGTAATACTTTGCTAGAGCCATAAGGGCAATGTATAAACCTGGGAGTCTCTAGTGAATTATGCTGCTGTGACAGGAAGAGGTTCAATTTTTGTGTTGTTCCGGAGTGGTGTGAAGATAGATCTTTCCTACAGCTGCTAAGAGATTACTTAAAACTGAGAAGATACCAAAACAGCCTGTCTGGTTTTGTGTGGATCAAGAGCAGAGGAGAGCTTCACAGGAATCAGCTTTTCAGGGGCAGACCTGAAAAATTCTGTAGTCTCTCAGGTGCTGTCTCTTTCCTTGACACCATGTAATTTGGGATCTTCCTCAATTTTTGGATTGATGCCTATGTTTGCCAGGAGGAAAGTAGCCACTTGAAGGTAAGGGGTAAGCTGAGCCCTTCCTGTGCCCCACTGCACATCTGTGGAGTCAGAATTTTACAGAGCTGTGTCACCTAGTGGGACCACTGGCTGCATTATGGTTGGCAGCCATGATGCAGCTGGAAGAGCTCCCAAGGTTCTGCATGCACGCAAGACTTCAAGCTGTTTTGTGGGCTCAGGAGGCTTGTAGGTTCAGGAAAGCATCTGATTGAGGGTGGTGGGCAACAGTTAACTAAAACCAAAACTGTGCTAACTCAAGGGAATAAAGGTTGGGAAATTGCACAGCTGGGCAGTAGATTTCAAGAAATTGGTGTGGCTTGTGAGGAATGGGAAATTTGGAATACTGCAGGTAGAGCCTCTGAGATGAGAAGGCACTATTGGATTTTTCATCCCAGTTTGCAGAGATACAGTGACGAGATGATGTATTGAAACAATGAGTGTTCCCTTCCCATTCTCCCTTCAGGCACTAACATTGTAGTTCAGCTAACTTTTCATGGTAGGGTGGGACTGGGGTGTAATGGTGGGTGGTGGGAGAATGGCTGGCATATTTTCATGTTAAAGTGCATGTAATATTTTGATCCTGTGATTCTGGCTGTTACGTATGCTGTTGGTCTGTTTTACTGCTTCAGGGAGAAAATCTTCTGAGCAGGGGTGTCTGCAGTGCACTGCATATTGTGTTTGGATGTAGCTGTCAACATGAAGAGATGAAATGACTACTCCATTTAGCTTACGATCTCTTAGATTTGCAGATAGATGGAAGTTGAGTTTGGAGGGCTGCAGGAAAGCAAGGAAATCTTGCCGCCTTCTGGATAGTCTCCCTCTTTCACGAGTTGCAATGACAGGTTTGGCTGCTGCCATTACATTTACACTGCTTGACTTTAAGTTTTAGTATGATCTCTCTTTCGGAGCAAAAAGCATGTTTGGCATTTCAAGTTTTCTAAATATCCACATGTGTTGATACACATTTCCTCCTCCTGACTCCGTGTTTTGAACCCAAATGGTCAGGCTGAGATCTCATTCCCTTATCCTTGCAAACCAAGTGAACCATTGCAAACCAATTCCCAGCCTAATTTAGCAGTTGCTTCAGTCTTCCTTTTCCCGAAAGCAATGTCAGGGCTCAACAAACTGACATGCAGCGTACATGTTCTCCCCTCCCCTTTCCTCCTCTCCCCTCCCTTCTCCTCCTCTCCCCTCCCTTCCCTCCTAGTACCTCCCCTCCCTTTTTGCTCTGACTTCTCCAGGGCTGAATCCTACTGCATCAGAAGCAATTCTTGGTCTCCTGGAAAAGTGCACAGTAAAGCCAGTCAGTTGGTAAGGATGTTTTTCCTCTTCCTTTCCCACCCTTCCTCTCAAATAACTTATTTCTTCTTAAGCTCTGTGGATCCTGTTTTCCATGGATAGATTTCCTCTATCTTGAATAACCTGGGAATGTCGATAAGAAGGAAAACGTGTAAGATTACATGGAAGCTCTCTGTTTTGTTTTTTTTTTCCCAGATTCATATTAATGTTACAAGCCCATCTGCTTTTCACTTGTTTGAAAGAGGTGAAATAAGTGCATGCAATTGGTGTTTGTCGGTTTTCGGTTAATAACCTTTCTTCTCTCAGTAAGAAGCTGGTATTTGTTTTTGTGACCTGTAGCTGAAAACTGTCTCTGCCTTCCCAGGGTTCTTGTCTCATGATGTTCAGACCTGGATTTGGATTTAACTAGTTATTTGCCCGTGTTGAAGAGAGTAAAAGTAAATTTGCTTGAAATACACATAGTGTTTACAGTTTATCTCAGCCTTCGAAGAGATGTTTTCTGTTTCCAGTGGTTTGTCGTGGGCTTTTCCACTGGTTTTGACATTTTCTCTGCTGCTGGTGATTGAATAATCTGCGTACTAGAGTCAGTTAACAATCTGGAGGAGAAGAAGGGTAGAGACACTTGTCGTTCTGGGGAAGCAAGGCAGTCAGTTTGTGCTACTGGAGATCAAAACCTCCTTCTGCAGCAGCCCAGGTGTCTGCCTTGAGAATGACAATGCAGAAATAGAGACACGTGCTCCACTGGAGGAGAGAGAAGTTAAGTTTAATATGGTAGAGATGCAAGAAAGGACAATCTAATTAGAGGAGTCCTAGAAAGGAGTTTTCCTGTCAAAATAATTAGACTTTACGCTTGTGTCAGGGATCACTGCAGTGAAACATCCACTTGTATTTGTGTGTAACTTCTCTGATACAGGAATAGATTTTTTATTTTTTAGGCACTGTGGCTGAAGGAGAAGAACTTAAATGGTCAAGGAGCAAGTAGATCTCCTTTCTTTTTTCCCTTCCAACAACTTCAAATTGGTCTGTCTGAAGAAGCGGTCTCTAAATAACTGAATTTACTTCAATTGAAACTGCTAAGACTGAAACCTTAAAAAGTGTTGCTTTGCTGCTGAGGTTATGTTGGAGGGCAGGGAAAGGAACTGGATTATTTCTGCAGGCTGTTCTTGCTGAAAGCATTCCTTGAAGGGGATGAGAGCAGTGGCTGCAATATCTGTGTGCTTTGATTTGGTTCACATGACCTTTTTTTTCTCTTTTTGGT